ATTTTGTGAGCGTAATGACCACAAGTGAATGTGACATCGAAGAAGTGAATGTTCTGTTCCCACTGGTCTTCTCATGGTGAGAGCTTCTTGGCACGTGAGTGGAAGCCAGGTTTGTGAAGATGCTCGTTTTCTGTGTAACATGGCCTCTCGGTGAAAGCCAGCCATTTCACCCAACCATTGTCATGATGAGTAGTTCAACAGAAGGGCTGCTTGTATTGAGCTTGCTGAGAGATGGGAGGCGATATGTGGCTTCGAAGGGGTTTCTGAGGAAGGCTTTGACCCTCCCTACTTTGCACTTTTATGCTAGAAGCTCAGGCTACATCTGATGAAGCATATATTTAAATTATTACTGCACTGACTCAAGTTACCCAGGAAAGGCTTGTCTTGGCCTTAGAGGGCTTATCTCCTTTTATCTGGATTTTTTATGACTATAGAATCAGTGTCTCATAGTATTAAAAACTGTGGTCTCTGGTGGGCTAACACTAGAGTAGAGAAACAAAGCAAATCCTCCTCCTCCTCTTCTTTTTCTGTCTTGGCCTGATTTTCTTGGAACATCCTTGCCTATGACCATGCCTCATTTTGAAAATCAAACTATTACTCCTGATGTCAAGCTAAGAATACTTCAGTATCTATAATGTACAAGATAAATATAATGAAAGGGAAACTTTATGTACATTTACTATTTAAAGCTTGTAGAAAACTTACGTCGGTTCTTTACTGTTATACTCTCACTGATCCTCAAAATAACCCTTTGAAATATAGATGGTATGATCCCTTATAGAGGAGACAACTAAGGCTCAGAAAGTGTGAGCAACCTGTTAGGGTCACTAAGAAAGTAAGTGACAGAGCCACTATTAGAGCTCAGATACATATGTCTCCAAAACCCATAATTTTTTGTTTTAGCTTGTGACTCCTTAAAAATGCAGTGAGCATGGAATAGTTCTTGTCCTCAAGGAATTTTTGGGTCCCATTTGAGGATAAGAAAACTGTACAGAGACCATGGTTCAAATCAAAATATAAGTACTCCTTTGAGGAGATTTCATTTTATCAAGGTGGAAGGGCATGCTACATGTGTAAATGAGAACGATCAAGGAAAGTTTCCTTTCTGTATGAGCCTTTTAGAAAAGCTGAAACTCGGAGGCAGCAGTATGTGCCCAGGGTGATTATAGCCTTATGTAGGTTATTTTCTAAGTAATGGATTTTCCAGTGAACGGAGGTACATTCTTGTGAAGGTATCTCCCGTGAAGTCTTTGTACTCCTACATTGTAACGGTTGTGTGATATCTGGTGAAAAGGTGGCTTGGGAGATTTGTCATTGAATTCTGCCAACTGCAATTGCAATTAGTCAGTCTTATTCATCCATTGAATATAAATGAGATGTAAAGAGCATCTTGAATGAATTTAAATGCAATTATATTGATGAAATGAAAAAACGTCCTGAATTACTTTAGAAAACTAGCAGAATAAATGACCCACATTCAGGAGAAATTCTTTGGTGATTGAGTTGGCCTAAAAATAAAAAGGGCTGAGCAAACAATATTTTCTATTTCACTTTAAATACTTACTGTGCATCACTAGTCAGTAAAGATCATTTCATTCTTTAGAAAATATTGATACATAGTAGAGACTTTTCATTTGTGACATCTCTTGATATCTGAGGTGTTTCATATGTATTGGTTGTGTGTCTCATATTGGTTGAGTAGTTCTAGTTGTTTTATCATCAGAATAACTTCTTTGTCAATAATCATTTGAGAGATGAATTTCAGTATAGGCCTTCTTTAGTATTGCTTTGCCAGTAAGTAGGTTTAATTAAAATTTAAATGATTTGCATAGTAACAACACGTGTACTTGCTTACATGTTAGTATCACATCTTAAATTCAGTAAAATTGAATCAGTGCCATGTAAAGTGGGAAAATAGTATATAATGTTAACATTAGAATTGTTCTCATTGCAAGAGGATATTATATCAATAAACGAACAAAATACTATAAAAATAAAAATCTCCTTCACATTCTAAAAAAAATAATAATCATTTGATATGAAATTAGTTAACAAGGACTGCTTTGGGAACATTAGATTCAGGTGAATCTACCTGGTATCTCGACTAATAGAAATACTTTCAGCTAAGTTTTTTCCCCTCTCTGTCTCTCTCTGACACACTCTCTCTCTCTCTGACTCTCTCTCTCTCTCTCTCACTCTCTCTCTCTCTCTCTCTGTCTCTCTGCCTCTCTGTGTGTGTGTCTCTCCTGTGTCTCTCTCTGTCTCTCTCTGTATCTCTCTGTGTCTCTGTCTACATTGCCCTGAAGTTCTTCTGGTCTGTCACTGATGGTTAAGAGAGGAGAGGCCAGTAGCTTGTTGACTTGAGGTTTCTGTCTCCTAGTGAAGTGATTCCAAAACTTCACTGGGCAGGAGAATTGCTTGGGATGGGAGGTGTTGCTTGTTGTAAGGGCAGATCCTTGGACCACCTCAGAAGGGCTGATTCAACAGATCTGGGATGGGAATCTCAAAATCTACATTTTAAATAACAGTCTCCCTCCAGCCTTCTATTCTCACTCTGATACCCTCTGAGAAATTCTGCCCTGAACTCTGCTGTCTGTACATCTATACAGTTGTGGCCTCCTGAACACTTTGGTCACATTTTTTTTAAAGTCACATTTCTGACCAGCTTAGTAAAACAAGCTAGAGAGCCTTTAAGGATCATATTACTTTTGTTCTGTTTATCATTTAATAAGAAAGTCTCCCTCTTTTGCACAGTACCCATAAAATATAATATGAATAGCATCCCTATACCTTTAGTAAAGCAAGGAGGAACAAAAACCACCCTCTCCAGTTCAAGGTGAGGACTTTGGTACTCTAACCTCTTCAGAAATTTTGCATCTTGAGGAGACCTTTAGCAGTAGGTAGAGCTGAAGAAAAATAACAATGACTCCTCATCCAGCTCTTTAATTTCAGTTTGGTGGTTTCCATACTAGTGGAAGTCCCCTTTCTTTGGTCTGCAGACATCTTGGTGGCGGCCAAAGGGCCACGGACCTGTGGACACTCCTAGTATTATCTGGAGTCTCCAAACAATGGGCTTTCTCTACCCAAAGTACTCATCTTTACAAACGTAGACACTGCTGTGATCAATGAAATACAAATATATTTTTAAACACCTTGTAAGAGTTCTTGTGGCTTTTTTGGTCATGATACATGTTTTTAGTCAGCAGGTTCTAAAAATACGTTAGTTGTCACATAAAGGTTGTTTATCCACAGGGTAAAAATCATTTACGTGGGAGACCAACTATTAGAAATCATTTCTTCATTGAGCAGTGACCCTGTAATATTCCTGGCACTATTTTGTGCTCTAAAACTGAGACTACATATAAACACCCTTCCTCAAGATTTTGTGTATTTTCTTATGAAAGAACCGTATGAACTGAAACTCTTATTTGATATAAGGATTGAGAGTTATTTCTCCTTATAATTGTACACAATTACTCTAGAATAATATGCAATTATCTCTCAAATAAACCACAGTGTGAAAAATATACTAATATCTCTTTTCACTTGGTTGCGATACTCGCAACCACCCTCTGGTTGTATTTTGTTCTAGTTCTATGTTTATGTGGCAAACCATATGAAAACACAGAAGGGATTGAGGTAGTTCTGATTTTTGCTGTCAACTTGTGGTCTCTCCCCTCTCTCTTCTTTATCCGTGCCCCTCGCTCCACCTCTGCCCAACCAGACAGAATTCGTGATCACCTAGCAGGTGATGCAGCTGTTGTCTTGCATAGCGTGGCATGATAGTGCCAGCGATGTGGGAAATGATTGAAGTGAAGAGATGAATGTTAATTAAGACACAGACTGTCGGATTCCCACACTGCAGAGTGCAGTCGCGCCTCGTGGTATTTCCAGTGTCCCTGAGTTTATTTGGGCATCGGACGACCTCACAAAACAAAACACAGTATTTCTTGCTGTTGTTCCTACTGAAAGACATGCTTAAAAGAGACTCCTCTATGAGACTGGGGATATATACTTTTTTCCTCTGCAGATCTTGGCTGCTGTGCATGAGCTTACTTGGAGCATGTGTGTCTGCGTGTCTACAGGCAGCAGAGAAGTGAGTTTGAGCAGTGCCACGATTTATGGCGAGGCAGTAATGAGCTTCTCCTGAATGCTAATTACTGGAGAGTTGTTCAGAGAGACTGCAAGAACTGTTGGTCGTGGTAAATTAATCACTAACTCTATTGAGATGGACTGAAAGTTTGGATCGGAGCTATAAAGGCGCCAAACCCAGGGACAATTTGGGAAAGTACCCCAATTGTGCTCAGCAGTACTCGATGACTTTGCATAAATCTAATGAGATGAGTACAATTCTACCTAAAAGTTAAAGCTTCCAGCCACATTCGGATTAAAAGGGCAGCAAGCTTGGATTATTAAATGTATTTTCAGAGCCGTTGCAGCGGTTAGATCCGAAAAGCTGCCCAAGCTGCCCATGGCATGAAAGAAGAGATTGCTCTGGAAAGAGCCCTTCTCGAGTCTGATGGCCTTCATTTGCGTGTGGATCAAGCTTTCTGGCTGTCCACACACGTAAACCTCAACCTTTATCTTACACGGCACGGGGTGGCTTTTCTGAGAAAGCATACTCTTACTCCAGAGCCAAGCAAGCGCGGCATTCCGGTGCTCTTCTTGGAACACAGGCAGCTCTCTTTCCATTTCTGGTTCCACCTTCCTCCTTCATTTCTGTCTCTAGCCACAAGGAGAGGGGAGTTAATGATTCATGTGCTCCCTGTGACCTTTTGGGTAAGTGGACTGCGATGTTTCAGCGAGACTCTCGACTCCCCCCTCTGTCTCTTTTTGCTTCCCTGGTGTGGCTTTAATATTTACAGCCTCCTTGTCGGTCTACATGCCTGAACGCCTGAAGGAAGCAAAACATTGACTGCCTCTCCCTCCCGTGCTCTGGAGCTGTTTCATCCAGCCTCATTCCTTCCTTTGACATCACGCGGGAGGCTCGCCTCCTGGCTGGGTCGCCTGGACTGAGTTCTTCCTGCGTCTCTCCTGTTTAATCTGTTCATTTCACCAAAACAAAAAGATGGATTCTGACTCCGACTCACCTTTTAACTACTCGTGGCCTTCCTTTCCCAAAATGAAGATTCGGCGAAGGGCGTCCAAACAAGGTAGATTACAGTGTTTTTCTCTCCCTAGAGCCAAACAGAATCTTCATGTTCTTACCTTTCTTTTCCTGTTTCTTTGGCCGACTGTTTTCTGGTGAAGTTCATGTTTATACATGTCTTTATAGAACTCCCAATACATAGACACTTTACGTGTAGATTTCTGAGGCAAGCCTGCTCCTTCTTCCTGTGTTCCTTTCACTTTGAGTCTATCCTTGTGTTACTGGGTATGTGCAGTTCTCTTTTAAAAAATGAGAATTTAGTGCAAGGTACATGTTTTGGATTCACTTGATCAGAGTTACCTTGGCGTTACCTTGACAATAAAGAGTCCTGTTGATTTAAACATGTCCAGTCTTTGTGGGATTGGCAGAGAACTACACATGTGTTTGATACCGAGTTTCTGCTTTTGTCTTCAAGAGTGTTTTAATTTTAAAAAATAGATTGTACCTAAGAAAACAGTTTTCTGTTTTATGCTATTTTATTGATTGTATAGATGTGATAAAGAAATGATTTAAATAAAAATAATTTCAACACGAAAGCCTTTATGTCTCCAGGGTATACCAGGGGATATAGTCATATATTTAAAAAATTATTAAAAATAATTATCAGCTGGGTGTGGAGACTCCTGCCTGTAATCCCAGCACTATGGAAGGCCAAGATGAAAGAATTGCCTGAGCCTAGGAGTTTGAGACCAGCCTGGGCAATATGGTGAGACTTTGTCTCTATAATAAATCAAAAAATTAGCCAGGCGTGATGGCGCGCGCCTATAGTCCCAGCTACTTGAAATGCCAAGGGAGAGCCTGAGCTCAGCAGGTCAAGGCTGCAGTGGCTGTGATGATGCCAGAGTGAGACTCCAATTCATTAATGGTAATAATAATGATGTATGTAAAATCATTGACTGCCAAAGGAAGAAAAGTCATTTATCTGTAGCCTGATTAATAATGATTAATAACGGGGCAGGTTGACATTGCTCATTCCTGTTATTTGCAGCCCACTCTTGTAGCGTGGGCCGTGGAAACCCAGTGCAGGCTGGTGTTCAAGGGCAGGGTGGGTGTATTGAGAAGCTCCTGCACTATCTTTGGCTGAACTTAGTAGGTGGTGACTGTTGCCCTCTGAGATTTAACGAAGCAAGGAAGGCAGCAAGTATCCCTTCCTCTCCCTTGTCTTATGCAGGAATTTACAAGGTTATGTTTTTAATTCAAAGAGAAAAGGAACAGTTTCATGACCTTCCATGACGAAAAGGTGTTTCTGGAGCAGTCGTCTCTTCAGCATTGTCGCTTGGGAGCTGGCGTGTTCTCTTAGAGCAGTGACTTACTGTGCCACCCTGTACTTTTCTCAGAGAAGGATGAACTCTAGTGCTTGTCAGCATTACCTGGTTAGCTTTAAGGATCTTATTCCTTCTTTCTGAAATAAAATAGAAGTGTTTGCTTGCTTGTTCACTCTTTGGCTGGAGACAAGGCCAACCTCAGGAATAAGATGAGACCATCTAGGGGTAGTAGAAAGCCTCAACTTGGGCACATTTCCGATGTTGCTTCAGATTCTGTCCTTGGGGCCTTTAATAGTTTGTATTCAACATACTATTTTCCTGTCATTCTGCTTTAGAAATTAATTTCTAATTTTTTTTTACCTAAGAAGATTGTTTTTGCTATTGTACTGATTTTATAGATTCTATAAGAAAGGAACTTAAACTTTTTTTTTCAACATGAGGCTAGGTGTGGTTGTGTACACCTGTAGTTCCAGCTTCTTGGGAGGCTGAGGCAGGAATATTGCTTGAACCCAGAAGTTCGAGGCTGCAGTGAGCTACGATCACACCATTGCACTCCAGCCTGGGTAACAGAATAAGATCCTGTCTAAAAAAAAAAAAATTCTTACATACACGTAGTAAATTTAAGGAAAAAAAGACTTTTAGTTTACTTCTGAGAGGGGAGATACACTAAGTCTCAAATACTTCGAGTGAATATTATTAGTTCTGGTACACTGAGAGCTTCTTGAGGGCAGGTACCTTTCTGTGAGATGACCAAATCTCTGTGCTCATTCTAACCCTATTGAGTTTAGGGAGTAATCTGCTTTATTTATTTTTGTATTTAGATTGTCCGACTGACTGACTGGATACTTGTGTTGCTGGGGGCCTGGGAGGCTCGCGGCCTGGAGAGACATGGGATTAATGACGAGGAGGCCAGGAGAGACCCCTGAGAGGCCGCGGAGTTGTAGGGAATGCATTCATCGTGCTCTCGTTTTCAGTCCAAAGTTGGAGCATGGCCAGTCGAGCCACAACAGAAAGTCATGACTTAGCTATGTATAAATTAAACCCAATTCAAGTGAAAGCAGGTACCCGGGATATGAAAATGATGAACTGCTTGCCACTGATAAACAAAAGACCAGTGAACTTACGATTAGTAGCAGAGAGTTGGGGGTTGTGAGACCATATCCGATGCTTCTTTTTTTTTATTAGGTGAGGCAACATAGTTGGAAGAGGGGGTATGGTCACGCTGTAATGTTAGCTGGGCAGAGTTCCAGAGTCATAGACCCTTAGGTCAAAAGAGCTTTAGAGATGACCTGGTTCAGTCCCTTTGTTTGACAGATTAGGACTATAAGACCCAAAGAGGTGACATGAGGAAACATTATTGTTCAGTTAGTATTTCTAGGGTGCCAGGCACTGTCCTGGAGGGTGAGGTGAAATAGTGACCCTGACAGATGCTGTCTCTGCTTAGAGGGATCTCCACACTGGGACTATCTCACCGGACCAGGACATGCCACCTCCATATCGGGGAGAAATACCAAGAAGCCTGATAGTTCAGCCCAAAGGCCAGTCAGTGAACTATGGTTTCTTGTCTCTTACAGGATGATATAGGTACTTGAGCCAGCGTCCACAACTAAGGTGGCTTGAGTTTCTTCTTCCTTCTCCCTTTTCTTCTAATCATCATCAACATTACTCTCAGATGTAGGTTCCAGTCACCCGGGAAATCATCCGCAGGTTTTGAGGGCTTGGAATTTCAGACTTATTGGCAAACTTCTCTTGAATTTGTTCACACATATTCTCTTTTATTCTCTCTTATTCTTTCTCTGCCCTGACTCCCCTTATCAGTATTCTCTTTGTTTTAATACGCCCTCCTGTCCTTGTTGTCTCTGTTCTTTGATAGGCCACCAAGACAGTTATACATACTGGCTTGTTTGTGAACATTTAGAGAAAAGTAGTAAGAGGAAATTTACATTAGTAGAAACCTACCAATACCCATATTCCAACTATAAAGTGTGTCTAGTACTTTCTTATCCTCATGCCTTCAGAGAGAAGAGAAAAGGCTGTAACGTCCAAGCAGTGCCTTTGGAAATGACCGTTGTCTGGGGTGGGGACGGAAGAGACATGATCAAAGCAGTTAAAACCAAGCTGCCCAAAATGAACCCCTGGGGTTCTCAAAAGTTGGCCTGTTCATTTCACAGCCAGCCCCAGGACAGGGTGCACTGGGAGCCTAGTGGTTAATGATTAGAGTGGACCGAATCTACTACCGTTATGCTTCAAGGGCTCCAGGAATGCCTGGATTTTTGTTTTGTTGTTTTCAGTAGAAGATTCCACCAAGAAATATAATGTTTATTAATCAAATATTTTAAAAATATGTAGAGATTGGACCTCACCTAAGAGTCTCATAATTTTCATTTAATCTTCAAAATGCATACTTTATTATGAATCATTGGGCCCTGGGAAATGCTGGACGGTTCTTCTCTTTATGCCTTTTATCCACTTAGGCAACTTCTCTCATTCTCCTGCCTCTCTGATGGCCCACAGTACATGTGTTCCTTTTGCTGGTACAAAACCAGCCTACAGTTGCCCAAAAAGGCAGTGGATATTAGAAAGCTTGACAACCTTGGAGAGCTTAGATGGCACCAAATTTTTTGAAGTCATAATCAAAATAAGTACTGTTTATGTGGTATTATTGATTGTAACTACCGTTCACTAAGCTATAGTAAGTGCTTCACATTAGGATTTCTGATTCTCAAAATAACTCTGTAATACAGATATTATCTCTGTTTTATAGGTAAAGAGACTGAGACTTAGAGAGTTGTAAAGTTATTCACAGGCCAGACGTAGTGGCTCACTCCTGTAATCCCAGCACTTTAGGAAGCTGAGGCAGGAGGATTGCTTAAGGTCAGGAGTTCAAGATCAGCCTAGGCAACATAGTCAGAGCCTGTCTTTAAAAAAAAAAAAAATTAGCCTCCTGAGGCAGGAGGATTTCTTGAACTCAGGAGTTTGAGACTGCAGTGAGCTACGATCATGCCACTGAATTCCAGCCTGGGCAACAGAGCCAGACCCAACTTTTAAAAATAAAGAGTTATTTCCATAGCCATACCAGAAAATGGAGGCAGTGGTAACCAGGGTAGAATAAAGGAGAAAGAATGAAAGAATGGTTATGAATGAAGTGTTTTTCATAGGTGTTGTCTCATAAGAGACTTGTATTTTAGATGTGATTGCCATCTTCATTTATGAGCTGGGGACTCGGAGGCTCAGGGAGGGGACATGAATTGCCCATGGTCAATAAATGGCACATTGAGAGAGGCAGCATGGAGATGAGCATCAGGACACTACTGTTTTGGCCTTTTCATGAGCTCATTTCGTGTTCGGAGGAAAGGTAGCTAACCGGAAAAACAGTCATGGACAGTAAGTGTCTAAAGGTGTGGTGACATTTCAGAAGTTTTAGCGATGATTTTTAAATGTGAGATCCTTTTATCTCATGGACTTACTTGTTTTTTTCTCCTTTTCATGAAGCTTCATTGATTATACACATGCATGTAGGTGTGTGTGTATATTCAGTCTAGAAGGTCCCCGAGGTATCCCGGAATACCATGGGAGGAGTAAGCCACGGCAGAAATCCTTATTAAGGAAGAGAAACATTTTCCTAAAGGTGACGTAACCTGCTAAGATTTCTTTGGCTCTCAGTGAGGAGAGTGTTCAACCTCCGACAGAGCAGTCTCCACTCCAGACTCTGCCGAGAGGCCTACCTTTGTCCCCAGAG